AGCATGCGATATCTGATAAGTATGCAATCATCTGTTACGTATGTGATTAATTGTGTCTTGTCAATACATAACATGAGAAAGTAACAATGTGCCTATGTGCGAATGTACGCATGTGTATCGGTGTTTATCTTTGTATTGGGCATCCCAATAATTGGCAAGGATTAATAAGAATTTGTGTAGAACACGGATAAAGTAAGGGCATACGAGTTGGCAGACTCTTCCATAGCCCGATTTGATAGACTGGAAAGAATAGTACAAAAAATGACAGAGATTTTGAGACAACAACGTCAGTTGCCACTACGGTGAGAACCTTTGCCACCATCAGTGTAAGAAACGCCGAGGGGTTTGTTATCAGACTTCTGGGCTTGTTATAGGTGTGGTAAAATGGACCATATGGTAAGGAACTGTCCTTAAACTGGACAAAATGTGGATACATCTTCTGTCTCAGCTAGATTCGTACCAATGGTAGGAATTGCTAATCAGGATAGAGTAATTACACTCATCCCAGAAAGCACTCAGAATACTGTGACTGTTATCCCAGGTATCTATATTGTTTATAAACGCATGCTTATGTGATGATTGATTCTGAATTAGTACGTGTGCACATCTTTGCTTGGGATATTAATTGATTCGGATCGGCATCTTTTTTTTCGTATCTGCTGCATGTGCATCTAGATTGGTTAGACCCACAAGATCGAGACCGTATTCATTTAATGTATTGGGATATCGATTGACTTTGTACATGCACATGTACGTCTTGACCCATGTTCGGGGTAATTTATTGTATTACTGTCTTTAAAGGCTGAACCACTGGAATTATGACTATGTGATTATGTGACCGGGTTGAGCACCCCAAATAATGAACTCTATAAATTGCAAGATCATGTATTCTAATTGGTAGAAAATTGACTGGACTATGTGACTATATCAAGCTTGACTCGTAAACCTATGTTTTGTGACTAATTTGGAACCTCTGCGTGACAAATCTTGTGTTATGTGTAACCGAAGAACTTCGTTTATTGTGTTATTGTGTACCATGTGCTTGCATATAAGACCTATTTGAGGATTTCTATATTGATTATGATATATACCTCCTGATATGAATGCCTACATATGCAACTACGCCTGAACTTATGTGAAAGTGCCATATTGTACATGATTTGAAATACTTTGACGTAAACAATTGTGATAAATGACTCCGATATGATTTTGAGAACTGATGAACTTAGAACAGTTGTAAAACCATCGACTAGGTACCTAAGCAAAGAAGTGTGCCTTACAGAACCAAAAATACCCCTTTGAGAAAACTTTTATCCGATTCAATCTGATAGAACTTTTGTTTGATTGGACCTGTTAGAACCCTCATTTGATATAATTTGATGGGGCCTTTGTTTGACTTAATTTGGCAAGACCCTTGCTTGGATTGGTCGATAAGACCCTCTATCTAATCCGATTTTATAAAAAGGGAATTAAGAATCATGTATAAATAAATGCCCAGATTATTCTTGGCAAAAAAACTGATAGACCCAAAACTTGAATCCGTTTGGAGTACTTGACTTATTTGAAAGACCTTTTGCGGGCTATCAACAGACCGATTTAACCATGAACACTATGAAGAACCGACCTATATTTGTTGGAGACATACTTGTTACAAGTGAACGGGATTGAGCAAATCCAATGATTGGGAGTTTTATGGAACAATGTTTGTGTATTGTCACATTCTTGTTTGTTTGACGCTATGGCAACCAATGGCGGCAGATTGATTTGATTATAAGCAGTACTGAACATTTATCCTTGACTGATTAGAATATGTTTTGTATGAGGGAGTAGTTGTGTCAGTGTTATCGGATTTTGGGAAATTAGGTTATGGTGAGTGATGTTGTGTTTGTTTTGATGACATTCTTGGGGCGTCCTTTCGTGCTAGGGGACGTTAAGCCTATGTAGCACCTTTGTTGAGTCATCTCTTTTGCCACCGACGGTTTTGTACGAGTGGGTTTGTTTAATCGATCTCGAGTTGGCCACTGACGGTCGTGAACGGGTGTGCTTTGATTTCGAGACAATTATTCCTTTGTTTTGTCTGGAATGTCATCTTTTGGTATTATGTGGATGTTATTAGCATCAAAGGAGCTTTGGAAAAACCCTGATTATCTGAAAGTGTGTGAATTCAGTACGCTCTGTGTAAATAATTGCTCAGTGCCATTATATTCTGTAATTGGGGCTCTGGGGATGTGTAAATTGTGCTTGATGGGTGATTGACTCCTTTGATATTGCCCTTGACATCATGGGGATTTGTATATGCATTGCCTTATGCTTTTGACGATTATTAGATAATATGGAAAGACTCGATAGAACAGGGGATTGAATGTTGATTGAATTATAAACCGCAAATTGTTGAATGAATTAAGGACACGTGTATTGTGTTAGAAATTGATTGCTTCGATGCCACCTTTGTTGATTCGGGAATCAGTATTTAGATCCACTTCATATTCCTGAAGACTTTTGGTTAACCTTGGATAACTGTGATGAGTCACTAAACTAAATACCGAATCAGATTGTGAATTGTGGAATTATTGAAGAATGAATTGAACTTTTGTGACAAGGGAGTAGACCGAACTTCTGTGATAAAGTTAGCTGGCATCCGAAAAAAATATGTTGGTAACCTACCTTGAAGAGGGCAATTGGTGAAATTGTGTCTAAATATTTTTGGTGCTAACAAGTCAAAGTCAAATATCAGATATTGGCGGAACTACTTCGATCTCTCTCTGTTTCGGAATGGAAATAGGGATATGTGACTACGAATTTTATTGTGGGGTTGCCTTGGACACCCAGGGTATAAGTCCCGTTTGGGTTATTATATATAGGATTACTAAGTTTGTTCATATCCTCCCTGCAAAATCTTCGTGTGATGCTTATAGACTAGCAACTGTTTACATCGACAAGATTGCTCGTTTGCCTGAGACCCTAGTATCCATTGTTTGGACAGGGATCCTAAAATGCGTTTGAATTCTGACAAGCCTTCAAGAGGCGATGAGAACTAGATTGTGAGTCAGCGCTACCTTCCATCCGCTAATTGATGTATAATCAGAAAGAACTATCTAGACTCTGGGAGGAATGCTCCAAATGTGTACTTTAGACTTCCGGGGAATTGGAAAAATCTACCCATCGTTGGCAGACTTTGCTTACAATAACGGCTCACACTCTAGTTTCGGCATGGCACCATACAAGCCTTGTATGGCAGGAAAGGTAAGTCTCTGACTGATGGAGAACAGAGTGTTGCTTGATTTTGAGACTAAGCAGTAAATGACTATAAAAAAGGATTGGAACCGTTGAATGAAAAGCGTTCCGAATTGTTTTTGACTAAAGGTGAAATAAGTTTGGAGGACCAAACTTCCTAAAGGAGGGAAGACTGTGATAACCCTGTTCCGTAATTAGCTAATTAGTCCTTATTATGAGTCTGATTATATGTTTAATATGATTTTGTGTGCCATTATGTGAAAATGTGTGATTTTGAATTTCTATCTGTTCACCGTAGGAATATCTGTTTGATTATCTACTTCGGAATTTAAATTGAAGGCCTTATCGGCCACCGAAACCAAAATCGATTACGCCATTGTGATTGGCATAATTTTTAGAGCCTACAGTGAAATTTAATCGAAAATTGATTCGGACCAGATTAAGTTGATTAAATTGGTGAATTAGTGTCCAATTATTTATTATTATTATATTGTGTTGAGTGGGGGCCTTAATACACTCTCCCTTACTTTCATTGAACTCAAAACAATCTGAGTTATACAATTGTGAGAGAGAGAGGGCCGGCCATAGAGAGAGAGAGAGGGAGATACTTGTGCAATTTTTGGCTCAAGCTTGGGAATTTGAAGATTGAACTCAAGAATTGGCTAGAACTTGGGTGTTTGAAGCTCCTAGGTGAGTAAATCCATGAGTTTAATGTGTGATTTTGTGTATTAAAAGTTGATTAATGATCAAGAGTAAGGATTGAAGTGTAATTGAATTGGTTTGGATGAATTGAGAGCCAATATGTGCATGCATGTAAGAAATTGTTTTGAATTTGCATGTTTGAGCTTGAAATACATGATTCATGTAGAGTTTTGATTAAAGCTCAGGTTATGATCACCATTTGTATCATCTAAGTTGAAGATGAGAGTAATATATCACATGCATGTATAATTTATGAGGATAGGAGCTTTGAATACATGAATGTGTTATGATGAAAATGAGTTTGGTGTAATTTGAGCCATGCATGTGATTATTTTGTGAAATTGAGCTCCATTATGTTATAATTTGGTGTTTGTACCATGTTAGTACACAAATATGTGAAGTTTGAGCTGAGATTATGAGTTTGGAACCTTTGGAGGTCGGATTTGAGCTCAAGAACACATTCTGGAAAATCCAGAAATTTGATGTCCGCTCGAGCGTAGAAACCGCCGCTCGAGCGTGAATTTCGTGCTCCCAGTATTTTCTACAGACCTTGATGTCCACTCGAGCGAGGAAGTCCACACTCGAGCAGAGAGCTATGTAGGATGGACTTTCGCTCGAGCGTCCAAGTTCCACGCTCGAGCGTAAAAATGACACAACCAGTACTTTTGCAGACCTTATGGGTCCGCTCGAGCCGGGAAGTTGCCGCTCGAGCGGGAACCCTGTTTTCTGAAATTTTGAAAATGCATTTTGTGTTCTGTTTTTCGTTCCCTTTCACTTCTAAGCACTCTTAGGCATACATTGGGCATTGTAATTGAATTAAAGAGATAAGAATGAAGCCTAAAGAGGAATATGTGAATTAAAGAACGGATTGACTTATTTGTGACCCATATGTGTTATATGATGTGTAGGGTCAAGCTAAATGAAAGCTCAATTTTCCATCTTTCCGCTATCTATGCTCCCTTGAATCTTAGGAATCTCTGGACAACGTGCTAGTTGAACTCTACAAGGTACGCACATTTCTTCAAATCTGACCTTCTTTATCACCACAGATATAGCTGTTGATCTGATGTGAATTTTGTTGGTAACAATTAGGAGAATTTGGAAATGCAACTTTTGTGTATGGATGACTGGTGTGATTTTCCTAGCATTTGGAAAGAATGCCTTTTTGATTTTCGTGGCATTTGGAATAAGTTGTGTTTGGATTTAATGGATAGGAAATTAAATGATTTGGCACTCTTAATTCAAGGAACTAGTTCAAATTTAGATTTCATAGTCTACAAATGGATTTCAAGCCTTTTTTTGAGAACTTTGTCGTGATGAATTTAAAATAACGTTTTAGTAGCTTCTTGAATCTTCATGGTAAGGGTTTTAGTTCTACAATTATCCTAATAAAAGAACTTTTTTTCCCCCCTCTGTTTTCTCTTTCCCATTTAGCCTAATAGTTATAGTTTGACATCTTGAATACTCTCTTTAATTACTTGGTGACCAAGACAAATCTTTGAGTATACAGCTTCATTTTATTGCAGAGATCTGGTAGAATTGAAGAACAGATTGAAATGCCTCAACATTAAAGTGAAGACTATTTTTAGAAGAACAGGTTATTGGGGAACTTGGCCTGGGCATGCTTACAGCAAAATAATGTTTTGGATTTCAATGACTTCAATCCTTCCACTCTTGAAAATGTTCATGAGTTCCTTGGACAAAAAGTCTCTTTGCAGCTCATTAGTTTAGTCAATGCAGACCCTACTGGTGAGTTCTCATTCTGATAAATTATTTTACGTGCACATAATCCGATCACATAATCAAACACAACTTCTTTCATATGGAGGTGGGACTCACACATTTAATGGTTACATCTCATATGAAAATGTTGTGTCAAATTCTGTGATAAAATTGTGTGGACTTAGAATTATTCTATAAATTTCAAAAAATGTTCAATTTTAAAAAGTTGTGTCCAATTTTGTGATAAATTGTGTGGCCACAACTACATTGAATATTTTTTGGGGGTAAGTAGAATTGTTGATGCTGGTATGATGCTCTCAACGATGGATCAATGACCAAACCCTCCTGTCAAAAAAGGAACTATTTAATCACCACTATTATTTTGGCCCTAGAAGGAAACCATTATTGTATTTGGCCATTTCCTTTTCTTTTATAGATCATCTGTTACCTATAAAATAAAAATAAAAATATTTATTAAAAAAAATAATAAATAAAGTGATCATATTAACTGTTATCTTGATTACCATTAATGCTATATGAACATAACAATAGGAAAAATTTAAATTTAATAAATCAATGAATCAAACATAACTCATTAAATGCATGAATCTCATTTATTTGACAGAATTTTTGTAATTAAAAAATAAATGGTGATGATAGAATGGAGCAAACCTTACCTAACCATTATTGTATAATAAAATTTTCACCTATTTTTGAGATAAATAACAAAATAAGTTGAAACATGTTAATATATTGGTGAGTGTTTTCGTTTTGTTCATTTCTTATTTATTAGTACATTTTTATGATTTTTTTTTTCTTTTGGCTTGTTTTTTTTTAACCTAAAAATGACTACTTAATACTATATTTTTTATGCATAATTTTAAAGTATAGGTGATATAAGCAAAGAGGTAAACAAAGTTAGAGTAGCCTAAGAGAACCAAATTTTGTGCGTGTAACAAAGAGGTAAACAAAACTTTAGGTGATATAAGTAAAGAGGCAAACTGAGTCAGAGTAGCCAAGTATAGGTGATATATGCAAAAAAATGTGATAAAAAAATACAAAAATAAATGGATGAAGAAGTGACTTAATATTGTGCGTGTAACATTGGATTACAAGAACTAAATCTTTTCGCAATAACTTTAGGTGTTTCGTCCAATCTGATAGAGTCAGAGTAGCCTAAGAGAACCAAATCTTGTGATGAGTAGATATTTGCAAATCTGGTTTTGCAAGCACATGGGGCTTCTTTTCTTCTTTTCCAATTTAATCTGCGTACTTCAAATATATTTTGTGGACTAGTTTCTAGTGTTGTGATTTTCTTTTTGTGTTCATTTCCCCCAAATTCTTTACATAGTTTCCAATTCTGAGTTGCATTTCAGAAAGTAGTCTTAAAGATTTAATTATTTGGTTTTATGTGGTTAATTGATTGTTATTTGTCAATTGATTAGGCTTGTTAGCTTGCTTATGTTATTACTTTCGCTATTAGATCTTTGAATGGGTTGGATTGGGTGGCTTAGTTCTTTCTACAACTATCCAAACTAAACAAAACTAGAGCCTAATGGGCTTCCAAGAATAATTCCCTCTTATTGGGGGTTAAACTGAACCTACCTTCTTAATTTGATTAATGATTACTCTCAAGAATAATAATACATACAAATTAGAAAAAGGAGTTGGTTCAGCTCAAATTTAATAAATCTGCTTGCCTAGGCCAAATCAACGCATATCAACTTTAACCCTTATAAAGAATTTTGATCTTGTTTGTTGAATTATGTCAAGTTTAATTGTTATGTGCTTTATGCATTTCACTTAAAATGAAAAACAAAAGAAAGAATCTGAATGGTCATACATTCAGAGTATGGTTTTGTAATGCATTTATATGACCAGAAAAAAAATATGATATAGTTGAATTTTATACACTGTTTGATCTGTGTTCTGGGCGCTTGAGAGTTGTTTGTGATTTGATGTATAATTTATATATATACAATGACATTACATTCATAGAGGTTACTAGTAAATTTGAGCATCTGTTGTCTCATTGTGCATGCAAGCAAGCGTGGCGGATTATTCTTTTATCAATTTCCTTTCTAAATTGTTAACTGATTAATTATTCAACCTTTCTGCATGAGCATAGATAATACTATAGAGTTGTAATGATTGGAAACCCTCTTGTACTTTTAGAGGTAGTAATATTTATGACCAGAAACACAAAATGCTTGTGTGTGTGTATTATCATTTATGAATAATTTTATAAGTCTCTTAAGCTTTCAATTTACTTTATTCACTTGTGGGAACAAGGTGGTCTTGCACATTGATTTTTATTTTTTGTGGAGAAATTATACGAAACTATTTTCTCTTTCTGTGTACATTCCTACATTTTGATACAAACATTACCTTTTTTTTTTTTTTTTTTTGGTTGCTTATTTGCAGCAACTACCTGTTTAAGCTTTTGCTCATTGGAGATTCAGGTGTTGGCAAATCATGTCTCCTTTTGAGGTTTGCTGTAAGTTCTCCCTCTTTTACATACCTTCTTCTTCTTTTCCCCCTCTATTTCTATTCCTTCTTTCTTTTTCAAGATTGCTTTAATTAGCCATGTTGTTTTGATGTGATTGTGTTATTTTTCAATGTTTTCTGGTCTCCAGTCAAATGTGGCCTCCAGACAGATGCCAAGTTCATTAACCATTTTTATTATTTCTGTAATCAGAATGATTCATATTTGGAAAGTTACATTAGCACTATTGGAGTTGACTTCGTAAGCAATCTTTTTTATTTCCCTTGGTTTGGGTTACTGATTACCTTAACATAGATTGTAAAGTTGTAAATTATTCTTATGTTCTCTTCTACAGAAAATCCGCACAGTTGAGCAGGATAGGAAAACCATTAAACTTCAGATTGTAAGTTTTAAGTGCGTTATTAGTTTGTTCTGTCTATGAAAGCTGTAAATTTCAGTTTCAGCTTTGATTAGTGTTTGATTGGGAATCTGTGTAAATAAGGAATGCCATATAAACACTTCTTTGCCGTAGGATGGAAATTTTGCATAAAAGTATGCTTAAATTCTGTAAAAAATTGAAGGATAGCTTTATTCGAAATGAAATCTAGAGAATTCACACTCTTGAGATTATATGTTAATTATATGACAATTTTGTTTTTAGTCAAAATTTATTGTGATGTTTTCTTCAACATGGTGTCCCCTGTTTTTCTATAAACTGTTTTCTTGCTAACAACTCTCATCTTTCTTCTTTTCTCTGGACATGCAGTGGGATACTGCTGGACAAGAACATTTTAGGACAATCAGTAGCAGTTACTATCGCGGTGCACATGGCATTATTGTAAGCATTGAATTGTCTTCTTGTTGAGTTTGCTTTTTAATGTATGGATTTAGTCTTATTCTAGTGGTTTTGTTGTCAGGTTGTTTACGATATGACTAATCAAGGGAGTTTTAACAATGTCAAGCAATGGTTAAGCGAAATTGACCGGTATGCAAGTGAGAATGTAAACAAGCTTCTAGTTGGAAACAAGTGTGACCTTACTGCACCGAAGGTGGTGTCTTATGAGACTGGAAAGGTGATATAGTTCGTATCTTGTTTTTTTGTTCATTGATAGCAGATCTCTATTACTCATACAAGGACTTTAGATTTTAATGAGACTTTGTTTTCTATTTTGTGCAGGCATTTGCAGATGAAATTGGGATTCCTTTCTTAATCAAACAATGGACGTCATTTCTCGATTTGAACATTTTTTATGGAGGCCTTTATAAAACGGCGTCATGAGTAATACATTTGAGTACTATTGTCATGTGACAAGTTTATTTGTACCTTTTAGATTATGGTGTGGGCTATTAGTTTGCTAGAAATATTGGATCTATTTTGTATTACAGGTTTATGTAACGAACCCTTTAGTTAAGGTGTTTTAGATATTTTGGGATTATGAAAATGAAGACTCTTTTACGTTTCACAATTATTGAGTATTGAGCCATTAGAATAAAATAGTGTTTTTATAGATATATAATGTGAGCAGGGATAAGTGAGAAACAACCATTAATGGTTAGCAAATCATTAAAAATTTCAAGCTATATATTATTGCTAATTGAATAACAAAAATAGCCTATAACCGCGGTTAATAACTGTCGCTGTAAATAAAATTGAAAAAGAATTCGATGGCTACAGCGATAGTGTAAAACTGATGGAATAGAGTCAAAATATTGTGATAACCCTGTTCCGTAATTAGCTAATTGGTCCTTATTATGAGTTTGATTATATGTTGAATATGATTTTGTGTGCCATTATGTGAAAATGTGTGATTTTGAATTTCTATCTGTTCACCGTAGGAATATCTGTTTGATTATTTGCTTCAGAATTTAAATTGAAGGCCTTATTGGTCACCGAAACCAAAATTGATTGCGCCATTGTGATTGGCATAATTTTTAGGGCCTACGGTGAAATTTAATCGAAAATTGATTCGGACTAGATTAAGTTGGTTAAATTGGTGAATTAGTGCCCAATTATTTATTATTATTATATTGTGTTGAGTGGGGGCCTTAATACACTCTCCCTTACTTCCATTGAACTCAAAAAAAATCTGAGTTATACAATTGTGAGAGAGAGAGGGCCGGCCATAGAGAGAGAGATGGAGAGACTTGTGCAATTTTTGGCTCAAGCTTGGGAATTTGAAGATTGAACTCAAGAATTGGCTAGAACTTGGGTGTTTGAAGCTCCTAGGTGAGTAAATCCATGAATTTAATGTGTGATTTTGTGTATTCAAAGTTGATTAATGATCAAGAGTAAGGATTGAACTGTAATTGAATTGGTTTTGATGAATTGAGAGCCAATATGTGCATGCATGTAAGAAATTGTTTTGAATTTGCATGTTTGAGCTTGAAATGCATGATTCATGTAGAGTTTTGGTTAAAGCTCATGTTATGATCACCATTTGTATCATCTAAGTTGAAGATGACAGTAACACATCACATGCACGTACAATTTATGAGGATAGGAGCTTTGAATACATGAATGTGTTATGATGAAAAAGAGTTTGGTGTAATTTGAGCCATGCATGTGATTATTTTGTGAAATTGAGCTCCATTATGTTGTAATTTAGTGTTTGTACCATGTTAGTACACAAATATGTGAAGTTTGAGCAGAGATTATGAGTTTGGAACCTTTGGAGGTCGGATTTGAGCTCAAGAACACATTCTGGAAAACCCAGAAATTTGATGTCCGCTCGAGCGGGGAAACCACCGCTTGAGCGTGATCGTCCCAGTGATTTTTGCAGACCTTGATGTCCGCTAGAGCGGGAAATCCACGCTAGCGGGAGCTATGTAGGATGGACTTGTCGCTCGAGCATCCAAGTTCCACGCTCGAGCATAAAAAGACAACAGACCGTATTTGCAAACTCATGGGTCCGCTCGAGCAGGGAAGTCCACGCTTGAGCGGGAACCTATTTTCTGAAATTTGAAAAATGCCTGTGGTTCTGTTTTCCGTTCCTTCACTTCTAAGCACTCTTAGGCATACATTGAGCATTGTAATTGAATTAAAGAGTAAGATGAGGCCTAAAGAGAAATGTGAATTAAAGAACGGTTGGACTTTATTTGTGACCCATATGTGTTCATGAGTTTCCTTGGACAAAAGTCTCTTTGCACTCATTGTTTAGTCAATGCAGACCCTACTGAGGAGTTTCAATTCTGATAAATTAGTTTACGTCACATAATCCGATCACATAATCAAACATCAACTTCTTTCATATGGAGGTGGGACTCACACAATTAATGGTTACATACTCATAGAAAATGTTGTGTCAAATTCTGTGAATAATTGTGTGGACTTAGAATTATTCTATAAATTTCAAAAATGTTCAATTTTAAAAAGTTGTGTCCAATTTTGTGATAAATTGTGTGGCCACAACTACATTGAATATTTTTTGGGGTAAGTAGAATTGTGATGCTGGTATGATGCTCTTCAACGATGGATCAATGACCAACCCTCCTGTCAAAAAGGAACTATTTAATCACCACTATTATTTTGGCCCTAGAAGGAACCATTTTGTATTTGGCCATTTCCTTTCTTTTAAGATCATCTCGTTACCTATAAAATAAAAATAAAAATATTATTAAAAAAAATAATAAATAAAGTGATCATCATTAACTGTTATCTTGATTACCATTAATGCTATATGAACCATAACAATAGGAAAAATTAAATTAATAAATCAATGAATCAAACATAACTCATTAAATGCATGAATCTCATTTTATTGACAGAATTTTTGTAAATTAAAAAATAAATGGTGGATAGAATGGAGCAAACCTACCTAACCATTATTGTATAATAAAAATTTTCACCTATTTTTGAGAAATAACAAAATAGTTGAAACATGTTAATATATTGGGAGTGTTTTCGTTTGTTCATTTCTATTTATTAGTACATTTTTTAGATTTTTTTTTCTTTTGGCTTGTTTTTTTTTAACCTAAAATGAGCTACTTAATACTATATTTTTTATGCATAATTTAAAGTAAGGTTGATGATAAGCAAAGAGGTAACAGAGTTAGAGTAGCCTAAGAGAACCAAATTTTGTGCGTGTAACAAAGAGGTAAACAAACTTTGGTGATATAAGTAAAGAGGCAAACTGAGTCAGAGTAGCCAAGTATAGGTGAATCTATCAAAAAAATTGTAATAAAAAATACAAAAAATAAATGGCTGAAGAAGTGACTTAATATTGTGCGTGTAACATTGATTACAAGAAACTAAATCTTTTCGCAATAACTTTAGGTGTTATCGTCCAATCTGATAGGAGTCAGAGTAGCCTAAGAGACAAATCTTGTGATGAGTAGAATATTTGCAAATCTGGTTTTGCAAGCACATGGGCTTCTTTCTTCTTTTCCAATTTAATCTGCGTACTTCAAATATATTTTGTGGACTAGTTCTAGTGTTGTGATTTCTTTTTGTGTTCATTTCCCCCAATTCTTTACATAGTTTCCCAATTCTGAGTTGCATTTCAGAAGTAGTCTAAAGATTTAATTATTTGGTTTTATGTGGTTAATGATTGTTATTTGTCAATGATTAGCTTTGTAGCTTGCTTATGTTATTACTTTCGCTATTAGATCTTTGAATGGGTTGATTGGGTGGCTTAGTTCTTTCTACAACTATCCAAACTAAACAAAACTAGAGCCTAATGGGCTTCCAAGAATAATTCCCTCTTATTGGGGGTTAAACTGAAACTACCTTCTTAAATTTGATTAATGATTACTCTCAGAATAATAATACATACAAATAGAAAAGGAGTTGGTTCACTCAAATTTAATAAATCTGCTGCCTAGGCCAAATCAACGCATATCAACTTTAACCCTTATAAAGAATTTTGATCTTGTTTTGTTGAATTATGTCAAGCTTTAAATGTTATGTGCTTTATGCATTTCACTTAAAATGAAAAACAAAAGAAAGAATCTGAATGGTCATACATTCAGAGTATGGTTTGTAATGCATTTATATGACCAGAAAAAAAAATATGATATAGTGATTTTTATACACTGTTTGATCTGTGTTCTGGGCCTTGAGAGTTGTTTGTGATTGATGTATAATTTTATATATACAATGACATTACATTCATAGAGGTTACTAGTAAATTTGAGCATCTGTTGTCTCATTGTGCATGCAAGCAAGCGTGGCGGATTATTCTTTATCAATATTTCCTTTCTAAATTGTTAACTGATTAATTATTCAACCTTTCTGCATGAGCATAGATAATACTATAGAGTTGTAATGATTGGAAAACCCTGTTGTACTTTTAGAGGTAGTAATATTTTACGACCAGAAAACACAAAATGCTTGTGTGTGTGTATTATCATTTATGAATAATTTTATAAGTCTCTTAGCTTTCAATTTACTTTATCACTTGTGGAACAAGGTGGTCTTGCACATTGATTTTTATTTTTTGTGAGAAATTATAAGAAACTATTTTCCTTTCTATGTACTTTCCAACATTTTGATGCAAACATATTTCCACTTTTTTTTTTTTTTTTTGGTTGCTTATTTGCAGCAACTACCTGTTTAAGCTTTTGCTCATTGGAGATTCAGGTGTTGGCAAATCATGTCTCCTTTTTGAGGTTTGCCTGTAAGTTCTCCCTCTTTTACATACCTTCTTCTTCTTTTCCCCCTCTATTCTATTCCTTCTTTCTTTTTCAAGATTGCTTTAATAGCCATGTTGTTTTGATGTGATTGTGTTATTATTTCAATGTTTTCTGGTCTCCAGTCAATGTGGCCTCCAGACAGATGCCAAGTTCATTAACCATTTTTATTATTTCTGTAATCAGAATAGATTCATATTTGGAGAAGTTCCATAGCACTATTGGAGTTGACTTCGTAAGCAATCTTTTTTATTTCCCTTGGTTTGGGTTGCTGATTACCTTAACATAGATTGTAAAGTTGTAAATTATTATTATCTTCTCTTCTGCAGAAAATCCGCACAGTTGAGCAGGATGGGAAAACCATTAAACTCCAGATTGTAAGTTTTAAGTGCGTTATTAGTTTGTTCTGTCTATGAAAGCTGTAAATTTCAGTTTCAGCTTTGATTTAGTGTTTGATTGGGAATCTGTGTAAATAAGGAATGCCATATAAACACTTCTTTGCCGTAGGATGGAAATTTTGCATAAAAGTATGCTTAAATTCTGTAAAAAATTGAAGGATAGCTTTATTCGAAATGAAATCTAGAGAATTCACACTCTTGAGATTATATGTTAATTATATGACAATTTTGTTTTTAGTCAAAATTTATTGTGATGTTTTCTTCAACATGGTGTCCCCTGTTTTTCTATAAACTGTTTTCTTGCTAACAACTCTCATCTTTCTTCTTTTCTCTGGACATGCAGTGGGATACTGCTGGACAAGAACATTTTAGGACAATCAGTAGCAGTTACTATCGCGGTGCACATGGCATTATTGTAAGCATTGAATTGTCTTCTTGTTGAGTTTGCTTTTTAATGTATGGATTTAGTCTTATTCTAGTGGTTTTGTTGTCAGGTTGTTTACGATATGACTAATCAAGGGAGTTTTAACAATGTCAAGCAATGGTTAAGAGAAATTGACCGGTATGCAAGTGAGAATGTAAACAAGCTTCTAGTTGGAAACAAGTGTGACCTTACTGCACCGAAGGTGGTGTCTTATGAGACTGGAAAGGTGATATAGTTCGTATCTTGTTTTTTTGTTCATTGATAGCAGATCTCTATTACTCATACAAGGACTTTAGATTTTAATGAGACTTTGTTTTTTATTTTGTGCAGGCATTTGCAGATGAAATTGGGATTCCTTTCTTAATCAAACAATGGACGTCATTTCTCGATTTGAACATTTTTTATGTAGGTCTTTATAAAACGGCGTCATGAGTAATACATTTGAGTACTATTGTCATGTGACAAGTTTATTTGTACCTTTTAGATCATGGTGTGGGCTATTAGTTTGCCAGAAATATTGGATCTATTTTGTATTACAGGCTTTTGTAGCGAACCCTTTAGTTAAGGTGTTTTAGATATTTTGGGATTATGAAAATGAAGACTCTTTTACGTTTCACAATTATTGAGTATTGAGCCATTAGAATAAAATAGTGTTTTTATAGATATATAATGTGAGCAAGGATATGTGAGAAACAACCATTAATGGTTAGCAAATCATTAAAAATTTCAAGCTATATATTATTGCTAATTGAATAACAAAAATAGCCTATAACTGCGTGTAGACGTTCCCGAAAGTCCCGGGAGGGAAATCCCGTTTTGTTCATTGGGCTCACTACAGTTCAGGACTCAATGTCACGGTCCTGTATCTAATCTCGCAGAGTGCAATGCAAGACCGATGAAATCATCAAAGAGTCCAAATCCGGCAAATCGTTTTTGAAAACAGATTTTTTTTGAAAGAAGTGCCAAGCATGGACTACTTTGCCAGATACAAAGTCGCCACCTGAATATTTTATTTTGGAAAATTTAGGAAACCCTGACTCGTTGCCTAAGGCCACGTGTCTGTCATCACCAAAGTTGCCTCGGCTCGGGAACTTGGGTACGATTGGGGAAGGTCACTTCGTGAGCACCCCCGCTCGCCCGATCAATGATCGGCATCTACTAACCATGATATCTAGTTTTGAAAACGTTATGTGCTCTTATTCCGGTTATTAACCTAGATTTACTATGTGATGTGCACAACATATAAATATAGACCGGATCGTTTGAATTGGAACAACACATCTCATGTTTGTTTTTGAAACGGTTTGCTACTCACAAGTAGGCTTAAAATGCAGATTTTGCCACCCTCGGGTGGGCTTAGAAAACAAGATGATTTGCCACTCTCAAGTGGGCTTCAAAACTCACAATTGATGAATTGTTCCAATCCAAATAACCCAACCTTCACCCACAGGCATTTAGGCAGGTATATCACAAAAGCACATAGCCTCATGGTAAGCATGCTATCATGGCAATCACTCACACACATGCAAGGATGCTAAAGCATAAACAGTTACCGAGTACTCCAAGCCAAAACAAAAGCTATGTTAGAAATCCATGCATGATCCTAACTATACAGAAATGCCTAATGCAACACATGCAAAATGCAACTAAGATACGCTCGGCTATTCTAAGATGGCATATGCAATGCTACAGCTAACATGTATTCAACTTGGAATTGAAATACAAATGCAGTTAGTATGATGCGCCGAGCCCGGTGCATGCAAGACAGATGAATGAATGCAGACATGCTATCATACTGTATGCTAATTGAAACATGCCCTAATCTAACCATCATAAGCTGGTAAATAAAAGGGAGAAAGACGTGGGGTTGGAAGACATGCATCACACTCACGCACACTTATTACAATTGTGCCCTCGCTCGGAGGGTCCGAATAAATAATACAGTCCGAATAAATACAAAATCCTAATTAATTAACAAATTAATCTAGGAAAGCAGGTAAATTAGCACGCAAATCCATGGACCGCCTCAGCTCTGTTCCAAATGATGAATGATGCATGCTCGAGTTACCTTGCGCAGAAATCCATTACGATGCCCCGGTTTGCCTCTGTTTGCAATTGTTTTCGGAAGGTTGCGCAACGCTCTAGAAGGCCGCTGATTTCTGATTTACTGCAACAGAGAGCAACAAAGGGGCATGGCAAAGTATTTCACATATGTATGCATGACTACTCTTCAGGGAGTGTAGTCCTCGATCCTCGTGCCACCAATCACGCATATCGATGCATGATGGCCGAGGAGTCGAATTGCATGACTCAATATGAAATGAATGCACATGAAAACACAACAAGACCTAAACTCCATCATGGGTAATCCGGCGTGTCGGCGACGGGGAATTGAGACACGTTCCGTCACTCGGAGTACGAAACGTCCCTCGTTTCCCGTGCTTGGGCTAACTCCTATCCCAAACACAATGCAAATGAAATGGCATACACAATGTGACTAACATACAACCTAGCATACGCAATGCTATGAGATGGCATACACAATGCTCGATGTATCATGGCATACATAATGCTCTAAAATGCAACCAAGCATACGCAATGCTATGAATTGAAATGGCATACACAATGCACGATGGACTTACACCAACATGAGTGGACCTCAGCCACACTCACATCAGTGGCCATTAGATGAAAATGAGACAACCGAAATGCGTGCACACATGCACGCAAATCGAGGACCGAACCTAAGGCATAAAATACCACTTTACCAAGGCATGACAAAGGATGTAAGATGGCATTCAAACATGTAAATTTCAGCACTGAAACATGATGCTAAATGGTCCCGAAACATGGAAATATGGCACCCGATGCATGGAATAAGCCCCGAAACTCAAAACTAGGCACATGCATTGAACCACAAGCGCACAAAGAAAGCATTATTTGATCATGAAGCATAAAGACAGAGCCAAGGCTGTCCCAAAATATGCACATTTCTAGATTAAAGAATGGCCAAAAGATGCTAACATGATGGACTAACATAGCATGCAACATTGGCTAGCAAGCATGGTTTACATGGCATGTATATGAAGCAAATGAGAATTTATCAAACCAGCCAAAAACAGTGAATAAAATATGCCAAAATATGCCCAAATAATTACTGAAATGCAGCCAATGCATGCAAAAATGAGGGCTTCTTTGGAGGGCCTTGCAAGGGGTTGTTAAGCACATACATGATAGACACTTAGAATGGAAAAACCAACTCTGGAAATGGATTATGACAGCCCTAAAACTCACCAAATAGGCCCTGAAATCAGTCTAGGAAACATGCAATGGAAGGCTCCTTTGAAAAGCCTTGGATGGGATTGCTCTACACATGCATTGTAGGTATAAAATATGGCCAAAAGGGCCTTGGACAGAGCCAAGGCAGACCCCAAAACTCACAAAATGAGGCCTAAAACAAGACTTCGATGTATGCAAAATAGGGTCCCTTTGGAAGGCCCAAAAGACCCCCAAACAAGACAAGGAGAGAGGGGGTCACCCCCCCTCTAATTTTGGCCCTCAAAAATGCATCTAAGCCACTGAAAATCCACTATATTTCAGTGGCTAAGAGGCCAAACCATGGCCAATGCAAGTGCTCTAATGCATAACCTTAATCATGAAGGGTTGAAGCATGCATAGGGGGAAGATGACCCCGAACGGAAATGGGACCTTAACAAAACTTGAATAGGATGTCAAAAAAAGACTTTTTCCAGTTTATAGAAAATCTCGAAAATGCTCACAAGTAAGGCTAAAATAGGATGCAAAAATAGCCCTAAAAGACAGATAGAGGATAAGGGGAAGTAAATGACCTGAAACAGCAAAGTTCCATTAAACAAAGTTGAAGAGGGGGTCAAAATAAGACATTTTACAGTTTGGGTCGAAGCCCAGAAATGCTTTCAAATAAGGCTAACCAATCATGCAAAAAAATGCAAGTTTAAGGGAAATAGGCACTTACCCTTGAAGAGCAGCAAATCTGGAGCTTTTGGACCAAGTTAGTGAACCTTCAACCTCTAGAAATCAGCTTCAATGGGCTGGAATGGATGGTGGAGGTGGTAGGCTAGGAGTTGTAGTGTAAAATGACCAAGAACAAGGGTGTTTGAAGGCTTGAAGTAGAGAGATGGAGAGGAAATGGGTGTATATCTCAGCTGGTTTTTTCTAACTTGCCCAAAGGAGGGAGAGGACCTCCTATATAGACAAAGAGGTCTAAAGCTTCTCTTGGAAGCTAAAAACAACTTTGAAGATCCTCCATACACGTGTATGGAGGATGCTGCAAATGGCTCCCAGCTGGCACAGCTGGAACACACTTAGAGAGACAAAACAGAGGGTAGCTGGCCGACTAGTTCAAGTGGCCGGCCGACCACTGCCCTTGGTCGGCTGACCAGGGTTCAAAAGGTTCAAGGTCTAAAGCTGGTCGGCCATGAAGCTCTTGAAGTTAGCTTTCCAATGCCGCAAACCTTGCATTAAAATTCCTCCTGTGCAAAAAGTTATGCCTGTTTTGGTGAAGCCGCGCAGATTCGGTCCAACCGGACTTCAACCAACTATATCCCCCCCACTCGGACTTGGTTTTAGGAGATTATTGAGTGCGAAATGAAGCCCTGGAAGTCTCCTTTCTAATGGCAATGGCCTTATATCTAAATTCCTCCTGTGAAAAGAGTTATGCCCATTTCGGTGAAGCCGCGTAGTTTTTGGTCCTCCTGGATTCATGCTGAACCACTTTGGATCACCTGATTTTTCTGGTCTGCCATCTGATTTTCTGGTCAGCCATGTGGCCACATTGAAGCCCCAGAAGTTAGCTTTCCAATGGCGCCAACCTTGCATGAAAATTCCTCTTGCGCAAAGAGTTATGCCCGTTTCGGTGAAGTGGCGCAGTTTCGGTCCTACCCGGATTCATGTCGAACTTCTCCCAAACTAGTTTTCCTCTCTTTTCTCCTCTTTTCTTCAACTCCAAACCCCTAGACAAGGTGTTTTGAAAGATTTTTCAAATATTTCATCTCTCTTTCATTCATTTCCACTTTGCCCTTGCTCGGTTTACCGAAAAGCGCAACATTCGACAAAATGCGAGCCTCGGAACATCGTAGGAACTTTATTTTCAAAACGTTTTGAAAGAGAGGGTTTCAAGTCTAAAATCTTTTGATCAAGATTGTTTCGGTCCAAGAAAGGGGTATGAAGTTGAGATTTGACTCTCTCATTGCCGAAGAAACTGAACCTTTGCCCTGCACACCTTTCTCCATCAAGTAAACCATCAGTCGCGTCCAAGTCTTAAGGGCGGTCAAAAATGGGGTGTCTACACCATGGTTAATAACCGTCGCTGTAAATAAAATTCAAAAAGAATTCGATGGCTATAGCTATAGTGTAAAACTGATGGAATAGAGTCAAAATATTGTGATAACCCTGTTCCGTAATTAGCTAATTGGTCCTTATTATGAGTTTGATT